GCTTGTAAACCGAGGCCGTTTCAGCGACTCGGCCACCTTGGCTTCGTATTGGAGATCTCCAACCCAATCCATGGATGCAGCTGCGAGATGAAGCTCGTGGCAGTCTTCACCAAGCGCAAGTCGCTCGAGGTCAGATCCAAAGAAAATGGGATTGGCCTTGAGATTAGCGGCTGTTTCATGCCATGTATTGTCCTTGAAGAAGATGTTCATGACATAGTCGAGTACTTCCTTCGCTGACCTGGGCATTTCGGAAAATGTGAAGAGCGTTGAGTCAAAGCTGAGCTCTTGCTAGACCGTGATTAGAGGTCGCCCTTATGTATGATATACTGAAAAGGTGTGCGGCGCGTGGCAGTGTGTCCATCTCGTTGCTGCATCGCCGTGGAGCCTATTTTAGCCGGCAATCAGTAATGATGGTGTTGATCGCGCGCACTGGTCAAGAAGGGCATTTTTGGCTCATCGGTGAAGTATCTCTTCTGGTAGGTTGGTGACGATTCAGGATTGAAGAGGCTTGATTTCCAATAATAACGAGATATGTTTGCATGGCTTGTCAGAGATGGAAGCGAGTCACGGAAAAGAGGTTCAAAACACCATTCAGGCGTTGAAGACCAGACGTTATTGGAGACGGATCGCTTACGACGCCTCCAAACGGCGACGTTGAAGGGCTTGAGCCATGCCCAACAGCAGCGTAGCACCCTTATGACTCTTGACGACAGAGGTGATTCACGTGAATGACAGTGGGGGTATGTACAGTTGTATGCATGGGCATGAATTCTCTATTCCTCTTTATGATATCACAGGATGAAGATGGACCCGGCGAATCCCGGTGCAGGCCATATGTGCTTGCTATCAGAGCCAACCTCCGGGATTGTATGGTGGCTGCTTCCGCTTCAACTCTGGCTTGACGGCCTCAAAGTCATAGCCTTCTTGACCTCGCCTGACGGGGGCCAAGAGCACGTCAAGGTTATCCTCTACTAATGGCGAGTCTGGTCCGTCACCAGTCTGCACCTCCACGTCTTCCCTGTGTCGAGATTCGGACAGATAGCCAGAGCCCAATCTCTCCTCCGCTGACATAGTGTCTGTTTCATTCATAACGCTCTCGAAACGGCTGCAAACATCTGAAAGCTGTACCACGACTTGTTCGACGTCGGACATGAAGGCGGTTCCTGTGAGAGCCAAGCTTTTCCAATAGTCAAGTTCTTGCCTGAGGCGGCCGGAGTCTCTCACAAGTTCTTCGAGACGTTTTTCCTTACTGACTGGTGCCTTCTGAGACTGTATGGTACTGTTTGCGAGGTCGGTTGCGTGGGTTGACCCGCCTAAGGCCGCGACTGCGTTGTCTATGTCGCTTGGTAGGCGCGGCAGACCGTTTGATCGGCGAGGGCGCTTCAAAGGTCTGGCCGCCATGTCGGATTGCCATCGAAATGAGGCAGAGTGCTGATGGGTTGCCGAGCGAGGTGCGTGACATGGATCATTGTATTTG